TATCTGTCTGTAAGTCAATCTGTCTGTCTGTCTGTCTGTCTGTCTGTCTATCTGTCTGTCTGTCTGTCTGTCTGTCTGTCTGTATGTATGTATGTCTGTCTGTCTGTCTGTCTGTCTGTACATAATGTGTGTGTGTGTGTGTGTGTGTGTGTATGTGTGTGTGTGTGTTTGTGTGTGTGTATGTGTTTATGTGTTGTGTGTGACGTTGGTAGGCCCTGTAACTTAAATGTGTTCTTCAAAACAGTGGACTACATATTAGTTAAAGCTTCTTCGAGAAGTTTTTTATTTCTGTTTTGCTTTTGTGAAGCCAGTTCGTTACTTTTTAGAGTCACAGAGGGTTCATCCTTTAATAATGCTGCAATTTTTAACTCTCTGTCTATGCCCGTTTTGTCTAGGAATGCCAAAAATGTAAACAGTTTGATCCGTTCCCCTTCCCAACAGCATTTCACTCTTTAAGTCAATGTGTACTGAAAGAACAGCCTGGTGATAAATGATGCACTTTTAAACCTCATTACACCACGCATTTTATTGCGAAACAGAAAACTAATTCACTTTCAACAGAAAGAGAACATTTTTCGGCGCCGTAAAAATGGTTTTGTTCCACAGATGTCTTATTTTGACCTCGATTAAAGTACACGTTTTTAGCATTTTTATTGTCGTCTGCAAGAAAATCCTTGAGATTAGCAGGTCAACACGTTTCTTAGCGGGAGGAGTGGAACTTTACCCCACCGTGTGTCACTCCGAATAATACAATTCTGAATCCTTTACGACAAAGTCTCCCAACCGTGACAGCATTGGGCAGGCTTGGATCGGCCCAGACTGGGTTCTATTTGCCTAACATTAATTTTGTGAGGTGTCGTCATGAAATCATGTGCTCGTAAAAATATTCATCTAAAGCAAGCCAAATATAAACAAACTATAACCCTGTATGCCCAAAAACTGATGAGCGCCTGATTCCACCGCGTTGTGACACATTTTCCTCTCTTTTCACAATAATTTTTGCAACTTTTCTTCTGCGCTTCTTGTAATAACTACTGCTCGAGTGAAAGTTAAGTTTTCAGCTTATTACTCAAGAAGAAAATGTTTTCCTTACGCTGCATTCTCAATGTGAATTAGTAACACACTCAGAGCTCTACGCAGGTATTGCAACCCCCCCCCCCTTTTCCCCTAAATGAAGAATAAAATGCACGGTTGGCTATCTTAACAGATGCATCCCTTCTTTTAATCCCATTCGGTTTTCTTCCTCGTTTTATCGCTATATCCGATCGTTGACTGGCGCTCCACCATCCCTTACGTTTCCTGTTATAATATTTAGTAATATATTACTATAATACGTCTATCAGATTTGTTTTACACCTTCCTATTCTCTCTCTCTTTTAAACACACACACACACACACACACACACACACACACACACACACACACACAGGCCAGAGTTTTAAATTACCCAGAGCCTATTCCTAAAAGAGAAAGCGTATAGGAAGAGAAGAAAAGAGAAGTCACAATAAAAGCCTTGGTGCCGGGCTCTCTAGGCGCATGATTTGCCGATTTATTGCGCGTACTGACCGAGAAAGATCAATGGCTTTTTAATCCGCATTGAGGCAGCGGCTCCAGGTAAATCAATATTTGAAAATCTCCATACAGAGAGACTTGGGTAGAGAGCAGTTGACACCGGGGGTTGGAGCGGGGGAGGGGGGGATTTGTCGTGGGGAGTGAGAGAGACAGGGAGCCAGGGAGAAGGGAGAGTTCTGCTTTGTACCACTTTGTCCAGTGTGTGTGTGTGTGTGTGTGTGTG